TGAAAAGTCTAGTAGTTACAATTATGAAATAATAATATGTCAAAGATGTCTGATGTAGATAAAAGGTTTAAAATTTTAGTTTAGCGAAACACTACAAAATGTTTTCCAAAATCGTTATATCCATGAAGTACAGTGACCCCTCTGACACCAAATGCAAATTCACAACCATTTATACAGCAGATCTGTGTGCATTATAAATCAGCAATTGAAAATCTATTTTGCTTACCTTGCGACCAGTAACGAGTTAGTTAGTGCCATAATTCCGTTTCCCTCGTGAATATACTTAGTAAGTAGAAACACTGCTGTCCTTCCCTAAGGTAGAGTGTAACATCCACAGCCATGGTTCGTCTTTTGGTTCCCTTCCTCTCGGTGCTCACAAGTGTCACTGTCCCTGACAGCCCCTACAAAAACTCAGCTGCCCTCCATGGCCTCCTCTGGTTACTTGTTAAAATGGGAACCACCTATGAATCTGTAATGGCAAGAACAAATTCCAGAGGACCAGAAGTAGCAAAGTCTAACCGAAGGCTAACTTTTAACTCAAGTTCTCTGACCAAACTAACCCAACAACGCACATTTTTGGGAACAGTAGACTCCTAAATTGCTAATTCTTACTGCGTAGACTGCTAGGTAAAGTCTTATTGATCTTAACACAGTTTGACCTGTGATAAGAAGCACTGCAAGGTGGCAGAAGAGGGGAAGAGATTAAACCCTTCCTCCTACAGACGGATAGTGTCCAGATACCGTTATCGCAGTCCCAGCTTTTTGTGATGAGCGTAACACAGGCACAGACAATTCCTGCACCTCAAGTGTTGCCAAGCTGCACCCCTCACCCTTGCAAAGGGCATTAGAAAGCCACGTACTTACACAAACCAATTGTGAAAACAGCATGCAACGTGCTGAATTAGAGAAGAGACTCACACACCATCACCTAGCAATCAGTCCTGGTGTAAATGCCTAATGAGGAGCTGGTCCTCCCCAACATGAGTCCTTGGCGTGACACTGTGCTGCCTACAGACAGGGCAGCACGCGTGTTCTGCTTCCTGAGCTGTTACAGCAGGCCAGTCTGAGCAACAGCAGAGAAGACGGCACAAATTAAGAAGTTACAGCAAAGATGCTTATGCCATTCACCAAGACAATTGCTTCGCTTTGTAACCAAACAGAAACGCTTCGCTGTGTCTCAGAAGTGAGGCGTGATATCTACACAATCAGTAAGGCAGGACAGAGGGACAGAGAAGCTTCAGGTAGCTGTGGAGGCGACATCCCCATATAAGCCAAACCTTCCTCCACCACCTTGGAAATCATCCCCAATTAATTTTGTTGCAACACTCAAGTTTGTGTTAATAGCACAAGGAAAACAATCGTTCTCAGCCTCAAAAAGCAAATTTTGCTTTGGCAATAACTCTGCTCTTTTTAGAAAGGACCAAAACCTTGGGATTATGTACCTTTAGAAAGTGAAGCCCAAGGCATTATACAATTCATCCCAAGGCTAAATGAAGAGGGGAAAAGGAACAACTGGTTGTGGGCAAGGTTAGTGAATTCTTCATCATAAATTAAATTTATGCAGCATAATAAACTTGAATATTTGAAGGTGTTTTGTTCTCTTTCAGACTGTTTTAAAATGACATCTAGCAAGAGCAATTATCATAGAATCATAGGACAAAGGAGCTGGCTTTAAGGTAGAACTTGACAGATTTATGACCAACATTATATGGTACTTTTCAACTTCTGCAACAGGAAAACTTGATGACCCAGGAGCATTTTATTCAGTCTTGTTTTTTAGCACTAAGGTTCTGCTAGGAAGCGGTTCTGTTCCTGAAGCACATTACCTACGAGTCTCTTATGAAAGGCACATCTGCCCAGTGGAGTACAGGGAAAACCCAGAAGAGTGGAGTGAAAAAAGTGACCAAGCGAACAAAAGCACTGAATTCTAATGCAAAGCTAGAAGAGTTCCCAGAGCTCACGTGCAGGAACTGCCTGCGATACCTTTTTTTGGAGGGTATGGGCTAGTCCTGCAGACAATGAGCCAGACTGAGCATAGCAAAGCAATATTGCCAAGCAGAACAAACAGTAACTATTCCAAAGAGAAGCAATAATCACTGCTGTGCCAAATCTAGTCACTAGTACTGCAGACATTGGGATACATTTATTCTGTAATGGAATAGACTAAAATTTAGCTTTGTGGCAGCCATGTCCAAGTAACTTTCATTCCCCGCCCACTTCAGAGAAGCACACACAGCCTCTCTGTAAATAAAGAGATCCAGTAACACCTACGGAATAAACAAGGCCTGTCTTGCCTTGGCATACAGGGAAAGATCTGAAAAGAGCGTGAAGGAACACTCCAGCGGTAATCCAGCTGACATCATGTGAAGACTGATCCCATCTCACCTAACCGCCGCGATAAATGCGGGTTCTGACACCAGAACACTGAAACTTCACACTCACCACTCGACGTCAACTCAACACAAAGCTTAAAATGAGCTGGGCACCCGGCACGTCGTACGGGCTCTTACACAGAGCTTTTCACCAGCATTACAACATGAAGCTTCTAACTGGAAATAAGTCAATCTAAGCTTTTCTTCATTTCTTTACAGGCTGAGAAAGATTAAAACAAGTGATTAAGACATTTTTTAGCTTCATTAACAAATATACAAAGTTTTATTTTGTTTATTAGATATGTTTTCTGTGTGTTAACATTATTGTATCAGTTATAACCCACATTCACAGCAGAAATTTTGTAATAGCATTTTGCAGCACTAACTGCTGTATTAGCAATCCTCAAGAGAAACTTATCTTTAGCTACTCAGGTAACTTGAGTAATAAAGTGCAAAACCACAATAAAATCTGACAGACATATGCCCCAGCTCATACTCAGTGGAAAATTAAGCTTGTAAGAGCACTAGATATGGATTCACTGCACACAATAGAAGTGTGTGATCTGAAGACATCAGTGTTCAAGTTTTCCCGTTACCAGACATAGATTACAATGAAAAATTTTTCATTACTTTGAAGAGTAACAAAAAAAAAATCACAATAAGGTTACAAATAAAACATAACACAGTGGCCAGACTACCTGAAGCTTGGCCCTACACTTGGTACCTTTTTCCCAGTAAAGGTTTTAGGAAGAACTGATGAACAAGACTACTCTTTCTCATTTCTTGACTCTGATTTTAACTTCAAGGAATCAATCAGCAGGATGTTAACAGCATCTTGTTTGGGACACAAGTCAGAAATGTTTATTATTTATTATACCTGCAGACATAAACATGGGATCATTCAACTAGAAAAGCTGGCCAACACTGGCTACTGCCCCTCTCAATCCAAGATGACTGAAGCATCTCAATCTTATTGGAATTCCAATTCACGAAGTACAATCCAAGCTTTCACATCTCTCCTTACAGCCACTGGTGGAGTCTCCCCAGTACCAAACGCTCTTTTTAGGACAAATGAAGTATCAAACCCTGGGTGCCTTTCCCTTCCCTCTACTTAACTACTTCTCATTACGTCCTCTGGTGCTGACTTACACGTACATCATCCACAAAACAACTACTCAACCTTTTTACTTATAGAATTCAGATACGCAAATTAAACATTACTCTAAATTAGTTAGGCTGCCTCCTTTGTAACTGCTACCATTGCTGCTCTTCTAGCACTTTCCAAGAAATGGCAGTTTAGCATGCCAAACTTTAATAAGTAACGAGAAGTTTGAACAATCAGTTGTACATATGTCCCTTTGACACATTACTAAGCTCAATTTACTAGTAAACACAACACACCAATGTCAAAAGAAAAACAGCCTGAACACAAGCTTTAAGAACCATGTCCTCTTTACAGCTTTAAGTAACCAAGAATTTCACAATGTACATGCCCATTTTTACATAATGCTGTCCTTCACACAGTCATGTATCACTACAGTCAGTGCTTTCATTGAGGAAACATTTCCATGCACAGACACAGGGCAGAACATCCAGCACTGTTTCGGAGGGCTGTGGACACAGTGTTCCCCTTTCAGCCCATTTAAGCACATAACCCAATCCAAAGACCCAGCTGTTGTCCTCTGGATAAGGCACTTGCCCCAAGTGAGCAATACAGCACCAGGCTAGCAAGCAAGAAAAGTCTGGCTGTACCTTTTCTTTATCATTTATACCCAAAACAAGGAACAGTTCTGTAGCAATTGTGCTCTTGCTGTCCGACATCATCCTCCTGCACAGCTTGTGCAGCTTTATAAACTGCTTCACATTTCTCCCTAAACTTAGTAGTTATGGCCATGTAAGTGTACCAAAGACCATTAGATGTTTATTCTATAACAACTCTATTTCAAAATAAATTCAAGGTGCACTTCAAAAAGGGGAACACAAGACATTCAACAGAACCAGTGAAGTATTACCATGAAATCACAATGACAAGGTTTTTATCTTTTCATCAGCAGTTCTTAACCACCTACACAGACAAGTTGTGTCAGTGGAGGTCTCGCATGATCTCAGTCCCTCAAAAACAAACGCTGCCTTACAGCATGCATAGTAGAGACATCAGTAGTGAGTGCTACCCGGTAGAGTTCTCTCCTCCTCCCTCCCAACAGGGCACCAATATAAAACCCAGTTACACTAATATTTTCAGTTCTCCCTTTGCTGCATAGTAAGCTGCATATATTTCAGGTTATCCTCTTCTCAAAACCTTGGAGTAGTCTAGGAGTAAAATACCTGTTAACTCACCACCAATAGAAGATTAAAGAAAGAACCAGGATTATCTATCGAAACAAAACTTCATTTAACTTATGGGGATCTTCATTACTTTGTCAAAGACACCAGTAGAATTATTCTGGTCTAGCATTAGATCACAGCCAAAAAAAAAAAATGAGGTTAAAGACAAAATGCTCATTTTATACTGATTTGAACTGCCAATAGTTTTAAGCACCCAAATAATATCAAATTTTCTGTTTCATTAATGTTCTGCAGTTCTAGAAAGTTATGCATTTTTGTTCACATACAAAAAGACAGTCTAACAGATGTAAACTATTTATTGAATATTTGCCACCAATATTGTTAAATACATAATCTTGCAGTTTTCCGCTTTCAAGTTAAAATGTCAGAAACAGAACACCAAATATTTACAATTCTTATAAGGAATGTTACATAATGACACATTAAGGCGTAAATTCTTTTGGCTTATAATTCTGAAAAGAATGATAATAGCAAAAAGTGATGCAAAATCTTCATTGTGAGATTATGATTAAGCTACAATGTTTTACAAAAATATGGTGTAAGATGGCAATAATCCCATTCAAAATCCTGCATTAGGCCCCTCAAGAGGGGCAGATAATTTATACAGTCAAAACTTTAAAATTTACATATAAAGGTACCCTATCCACCATTGAAAAGTACAACTCTCAACATATACAGTTTTCAGGCCACAGTTTTGAAGGTCTGGAGTATCAAGTTGGTTTGATGAATTAGTCGGTTGGCACTTATGAACACATTTATTGCCCTGGTAAGAGAGAAAGATATCATTTCAGACTTTTTAGAAACATGGCATTCAATAAATACAGGATTAAGTTTGAGCAACTAAATGCAGTGTCACCTGGGCTCTACAAATCACAAGAACATTGATGTTTTACCTTATGATCTACCTGAAGGTTAGCACTGGCAAACAGACAGACTTGCTCACACTGCTGACAATAGGAAGGTCCTGTTTATTGGCAAGATCTTAAAGATTTTGGGTCTCAGTCATCACTGACACAATCATTTACCTCTGAGATTTTAGCTAAAAGTGGAGCACATGATCACTAAATGTTTCTTTTCAGAGCTGAGCATTTCATCCCCTATTAATTTGAGAATTTGCAACTCTTTCCTCAAGAAATAAGCATAGAAGCTACATACTCTTTTATTTACCCTTTGGTTAAGAAAGAGGTGTGGGGTCCCCGAGTCCCAGCTCAGTAATGACACCTGTTAGCACAACTTCTATTTAGTTCCATTTCTTTCTGGTAGGAGCAGAGTCTCTTATTCAACACGCAGTTCAGATTTAAATTGCTTCCGATTCCACAAGGATTTAAAATACAAACCTTACCTGGGATTTCTTGCAGTACCGATACTACCCAACACACTTAATGCTTCTGCCCATAACACACAGCACAGCATTCAGGGCCAAACCAACCTGTCTCGTTCAGTGTGGCTGGGGTATAGGCATAGCATACAACCCTTTCACCACTTTTTTCAGTCAAATAAAAGTTGGTTTTTCTAACCAACTGATTAGACCTGGATCACTTGAAAACTTACCTATACACCTATCTAGTAATCATAGTTACCAAGGTCTAAGTTTCCCCTTTTGGTATCATAACCAAATTTTGCCCCAATTTCAAAAAGAGGAAGGAGAATGCTTTGATAGGAGCAAGGTAGTATTCAGAGCTGGTCTCAGGACTTCTCTCTCCTTCATAATGCACTGCCTCCTGGGTGCTCTTAGTCTTTGCCAAGCTCAACAAGACCAGACACGAAATTAAGTTTGCATCTTTAGAACAGCAGCACATAGAACACTTCGGCACTGCCAAAAACTGAGGGAGACACACTCATCCAAAACAGTCACTACAGTGATGTACAGAAGAACAGTGACTTCAAAACCCAAGGTGAAGACCTGAAAAAGCACCTTGATTTGAAGGCTAAAATGTTCAAATATAAAAAGATTAAATCAGCTGAGTAATTCCAAATATTGCAAAGCACTGTAAGGAGCTATAAACAAAGGACAGCAAAAATGTAAATCACAAAACACTACACAGATGTTTAGTGTTTGCAAATGGTATTTCAAAGAAGTGGGTTATTTTTGTATCAATAAAGCATTCCCAAGTTTTTTGTCCTTGTATATACACTGAGAAAAACCACACAGGGCCATGAAATTTGGCTTCACACATTCAAGTTCAAAGCTAATACTGCACATGGGTGTTGTACGGTGGTGATTTTCAGAGTTCCCTTTCCTCAAAGGCAAACTACTTACAAAAGGAATAAAAGTATTTTAAAGCAGCCATACTGGTCTGAGGATACAGGTGAGGAAGAAATTAGGCCCAAAGTAGCTTAAACCCTAAAGTTTCTCCTATTTTGCCCATCATTCAACAAGGCCTTCGATTATGCAAAGCATTAATACAAAAACATACTTACTTTCCATCTTTAAAATAGGTTTTCAGAGTATCGCTGAAACTTTTGGAGTATTTTACAAACTCTTTCTTTTGGTGCTCAAGTGCCTAAGAAAAAAAAAACACCAGGAGCAAAGTCTCAGTTCACATATTGTTGGGTACAGCAAGAATCTCAAGGTTAAACTGATAAGGACATTGGCTAACATTACATTAGGTATACAAGTTTTGATTTTTTGAATTTTTTTTTTAGTAAACATGCAAAGAAATCATCCCCTTCCTGTAAAACTACTGACACCCACCACACACCAATCACGGTGTTAAAGTATTATGTCATTAGCCAGTTAAGCTCTCCTATTCATCCTTTAATCAAAAGCATAGGCTTCCCCTTATGCTATTAAAAATACTGTATAAAAAGAGTTATTGCACATACCCGCCGGTTCTGGTATTGGTATTTCTTGAAGACATTATTTACTGTGTCAAGAAGTTCCTTTATTGCACTTGCGATGTCCCTGCGTGGCAATAAAGATAGCTGTAATATCCTATTTAAATGCTGGAATTTAATCCCTTTCTAGTAGTCAAATACTTCTTAAAACAGTCTCTCCAGATTAAGTGTCAGACAGGATGTAGCAAGACCAAATGCTAAGAGCTAGACCAGTGACATGGGAAATGAAACTAGGAATCAGCAAGTGAATTTTGGTCTAGTAACATGTGGCTCTCGTTAAAAATCCCAACTCTGTCCACTCATTTATAAGTGAGGATCAGGCTCCTTTCCAGCAGGCTCAGTGGTGTTAGCATCTCCTACAGCACTGGAACATTCAGATTTAAACGAAATGTTTGACCCCTCAATCTAGAGAAAAATGCGTAACGCAGCACTTACTTGATTGTCTGAAGAAATCTCACTCTGTCATTGATCTCATCTGGAATCTTACTAAGAATCTGTTTAAGTGCTCGTGCCTTTTCATTAAGATCTTGGAATTCCGGTTCTGGTCTTTCAATCATATACTCTAACAAAAAAAACACATTTAAAGAACACCATTATTTTTTCCCCAAGTTTTTAGCAACAACTAAAAACGCTACTTCACAAAATGCAGCAGCATTGCCATGTAATATTTTAAAGTGAACAACACAAAACCAGCCAGGACCAGAAAACAGCAGTGAATACGCTCTGCATCAAGAGAAACAGCACAACAATCATCTTTATTATTGCAGGCTGAAAAAAAGAGCCCAGCTTGCTTTACGTAAGACACTGAAGACACCACCCTAAATCAAATGCAGTTTTAAGGTAACTCAAAACTTACTGTATGCTCCCCCTCTCTGACTGTGTAACTACTGTCTTTAATTTGAAACAGAGAAAAGGAAAGTGAATACTGCGTTCATATATGCTTTTCTCGGGTTGGTGGCCTTGCAAAAGGCAAACTACACACCTACATAAACAGTGTTCTAAACATTGATTTTCTTTCTACTCCTTATTAGTCAAGTATGTTTTTAGGGACATTTAACTTCTCCCAAAAAGTTTTCAAAAAACACAAGTTTTCTTCTACCACGCTGGAAAAAATCTATTCCAAAACAAATAACCTCTTCTGAAAACAAGCACAGGGGAATGCACATTCCTACTTAACTGTAATTAAAAACACTTATTCAGTATAAGAGATAAGGTACCACACCTTCCACATCATCAGCTGCCATACGCAAAAGAGATTCTGTGAAGTTGACATCCACACTTTTTTTCTCCAGAATTTTCATAATGATGTCCTGTGTAAGACCTGGGTTTTCTTTTTCAGCCTGTATGGTAAAGAACGTTTTTATTCCTAAATATGCAAGAGCTACATATTGCAAGCACAAAGGCAGATTTTCATGTAACTTGCTTCACATACTGCAGGACTTTTAAAGTCTAATGGCTTTAAACTAGCCAATTACACCGAAAACCATTCTTCCACTGAAACATCAATTTTTCTTAGATTACCTCAGTGGTTTTGTATAAACAACTTCTCCAATAAGCCCTTCCACTCATTTCAATTTTAATCCAAGTTTTTGATGAAATTCTATATTCTGTTATATTTCCCTAAACACTAAGCTTTGAGACAAAGCTACCGTATCTGTTGGGATTTAATTCACTCAAACTCAGGTGTTAATCCCCAATCTTCCACATGACATGATGAATGTGCCTCTTGGGAATCACATCATGTGCTCAAATTTCATCTTGGAACTGCTCTCCCAGAAAAAAACACTTCTGATTGATGACATATCTAAGTAAAGCTAAGCTAGACTAGAGGTAGTACTGGAGGTACTCACACTGCCTGTACTGCTACTAAAGAATTACGCTGGGTTGAATGAGGGTGCGTGGGGTTGATTAGCCTGAACTCCCACCACTGTCACATTCAGCTTAGCGCCTTACACCAGTCAAAAACAATTCACATCTATGAGCTCTAGACTGTCTATGCACACTTACATTTAAGTACAGAAACAGGGAAGTATTACTTAGTTGCATAGCGCATACTTTTGTTTAAAGAATTTTGGAAGATCACCACTTCAATAAAGCAGTATAAACAAATACCTGTATTTTCATTCTTTAGGAATATAATAGAAAAGTTGGAAGAATCATTTTTTCCCCATTTACTGCTGGATGCAAAAACAAACACTGAACGTATCCTCACCCACAAAAAAAAATAATCCATTACCATTCACTTTGTAAACCCTTTTCAATGTCTTCTACATGCCTGTTACTCATGAGCACCTATTCATATTTAGGCTAAGTTTATTCCCTTATTACCCTCACTGAATGACTCCCCATTGCAATTCATAACATTTCAGACATCTCAAACTTACAGTCCATGCAATTGTTCACTTTATTTTTTAGACTATTGGATCAAGCAGTCTTCAAACATGAAAACAAGGCAGCTGACCTTTTAGCTTCATCCTCTATTACCTTTTAACCAATCAATCATTCTTCAATACAAGTTGATTCTCACCTTAATGAAAGCTGCTCTCAGTGTCTGAGCTGCAGACAGATTTACTCTTTCTAGCTGCAACAGAAGTTTAGAATGATTAGCAACTCTAATGTTACCAGAGCAAAACAAGTCATGTACTCCTGCCTTGCCTTATATCACATAATGAAAAAGGGAACTGACAGAAACATTACTGGTCTCATTTAAGGGAGAAATATTGTCAAGTTAGATCCCAAAGAAGACTTCCCCCAAAAACACAAACATTAAAAATCAAATGTGTTCCTGGTCACTATCCATCCTAGAGCAGAAGCCTCACAGAATTGTTTGAGAACACCTGGACTCTCAGAAAAACATACCCTATTCAAGCCTTTAGCAGAGAAATTTAAATGTACCAAGTTGTTCACAGGTACATGTTCAACTGTACATTACACTTCCTGACACAGAAGGTAGGTCCTATCATTTCTCTGAAAACCCTCTGTAAAACGTAAGAAAAAAAATCAAGGCCAAGCCAACTGCAATCTTTGAAACATGTGGAATTGTATTCATGGGAAGAAGGGTAAAACAGCAGAGAAAGAAGATGGTGGTAGACACAAAGCCTTCCCAATCAAGAACACCACCCCTCTACTGTGGTCATATTTCAAAATGCAAAGGGGACTATGACATTCTAAAGCCAAATGTAGCTTACCTCATTAAAGACAGGGTACATAACAGCATAGAGGGGCATGGAAACCATAGAAGTGGTCTCTGCTTCATTCTTCATCTCTTCCATTGTCATCCTCATTCAAAGACCCACTTCTCAAGGAAAACACTATAGAAGCAAAAAACTCCTCATTCACTGAAATGTTTCTTCTTTTTCCTCGTTGTGCAAGAATACTTGAAGAACTTGAAAAATATATTGTCCTTGGGTTGTGCGAGAAAAAAAACAAAGCACAATTATGAATGCTCATGACTGACAGGTTCTAAAAACACAAAGGCACACAGCAATATTAGTTTGATACTGCCTAGGAACTAGGAATTACTTACAACATTAATAAATTGGGAATGATTACTACATGTAACTTCAAAACCCTAATTGAAATCTAATAAGTGAACAGACATTTCAAAGAGTAAGGTATGTCCTTTTACTTCAGGTTCTTATGGAATCAATTTTCCTGAAAGAAGTGGGTTTAATTTGCTATGTATCACAAAAATCTTGCCACCACTCCTAAGCAGCAGCATAAGGTAAGATTCCTGACAACTCACAGATATAAAAAGCTTGAAAAAGCATCACATGCTGCAAACCCAAACCTCATAGAGATGCATTACATATATTAACGTAAGAGCTACCTTTAAATACTCCATATTTTTGCATATGCATCAAGCTGTGATTCTGCTGGAGCTCAGTGCCTACTTTCTACCCATTTGAATTCCACATACTACATCTTTGTTTTTATATAAGAAAAGTCTTAAGTCATGTTTCCGCTCAGGGTGTGTCAACAGCTATGTTCACTCAATGGAAAATTATTGTTCCAGTAACTGAACCCAGGTTTTGGAAGTTCTCCACCCAGTCCAGCTCATCATATGCAACACAGAATGCTCATTGCTCAGACCCTGAAGTTACGTAGAAAAGAAGAAAGCTCACCCTACAGTCCTCATTAGTCTGCTATATTTTCTGTTCATAAGATTCTTTTTAAATATTTTACAACACAACTGAGTTTAAAGACCTGAAGTCCAAGTTAGGACTAAAGATAGATAGAAAGAGATTAACACTTTCAATTATTAGATTTGCTTGGAGTATTTAACACGCAAGAGGAAGGTTTTTTCCTCCTAGCAAGGTCCAGACATCACGCATTTGTATGTTCATGTACTGATTTTATTGATATTTTTGAAAGAATTTTAAAAAGTCAAATTTTTGAGAAATGCCAGAAGCTACTACAGCAATCAAACACTTCCCAACAGTTTGAACAGGTTAAAAAAATGCCAAGATATTTCTTCAAGCCATATTCCTCGTTATGCTCTGCACTGGCTAAAAATCTACAAGCTGTTTAAACAGACAGACATCCTTTTTTTGCCCAGGGCAGGTATAGAGTAGCTTAGCTGTAATTATACAAGTGAAATTTGTTATTGATTACAGTAAGCACAAAAACAACTTGCATGACTACAAATATCATGCATGTCTCATCTGAGCATGTGATTAGGCAGTACAAATAAACCCAAAAGGGAGAAAACAAGTGAATAACTGATCAGACGACAGAAACAGCCAAGAGTTATAATAGGATTTGAAGAAAAATTAAACATGAATATACTAACAAGCAATTGCTCCCTATAGAAGTCTTTAACATGGACTATTTATTGCAGACTCTCATTTTTGTTTCTCTCACTGTTCCAACCCTTCAACATGATACACGAGCAGATTCCTGTTGCCACAAAACAGGATTACTGAGACTTTAAACTGAGATCTGTGTAAATGAGGTATGTCCACATGGATGAAATTACAAAAATCAGGACTCACGTTTTTATCACCTACTCAGGTATTTTACAGCTGTCAAGACCATAGAAGAATTGAAGATACTCAACTTTTGGGGGAATGATGAATATGCACTTCTAAGAACTTGTTTCAGAGTTAAATTCATGCGAGGTCCCTTGCACTGGGGGGAAGAGGGGGAACTTGTCTAAACAAGTTTTTGCTCACAACTGCAAGTACAGGCTGTCCCATTCATTATACACAGATATTTCTTGCACTGAAGACTCTGGCACGTAAAGGGCAGAATGGATGGACAGTTGTTTGTTTTACCATTTAATTCTGAGTTTCTGGCAGTTCCGTAAAAATATGTACTCCTGCAAGATACTACACTAACAAGCACCACTGAAGGCAGCATTCACAGATTAATTTACTGCAAGATTTTACCTAGAGTGCTGTATTATCAACAGTATAAGTTTTTAAAACAGTTAAATCAGGTCATTGAACATTGTTCTAGTCTACCCATAAGATATTTGATCATAGGAAGAAGGGCAAAAAAGGACAAAATAACCATTAGATATAATTACTTTGTTTTTATGGGCTAGCAGTATCCACAAAGAAAAGGAAATACTAACTGAAATTATGGATTTTTATGATGATGAAAACCTATTACACTGTGGACTGCCATGAAGAACTCATTTTCTCCGGGAGAGCCATAAGCTATTGTTACTTATCCATGGTACAGTTAAACCCTCCATATAAAAACAATTAGACACCATCTATTACCTCTTTACCAGACAATGACACTCTTCAAACAAGACAAAAGCCCTTGGCTTCATATTAACATGAAGGATACAAATAGTTACAACTGAACTGATGTTACAACTGAAGACAAAAAAAAAGAATATAAGAACATCAGATACTTTTGTTGCCAGCATATGAAAAGAAAATATTCAATAAATCATACAGATAGTTTATTATTCCAGAAATTTTCCCATTTTCCAGAAGATACACAAGGTGGTGTCATGCTGTAATGCAAGTATCTTACTGTTACCATCGCCACACTATTTTTGTTTGCAGCTAGGAACCAACTTCACATCTTTCAGGTGTAGCTTGGATAGGCTGCAGTCCTTGTTAGCATTAAATAGCAAGGACTAAAACCCTCACGAAAAAAGCACCTCTTTGCGCTACAGAAAGAGTTTGTCATAGCTGCACTAACCCATGTACAAGTATCTTAAAAGGAGGTCTCAATCCTGATTATGGACCAATTGCCCATGAAAGCTGATGTTCCTGTTCTATTATTTAGATAAATTATTAGAAAGTCTGCTAGCCTTCAAAAAGGCCTGACTAAAGCCTGAGTTCAGTGCACATCACCATGCAAGGACTAGCAGCTTTAAGTATTTCTTTTCACATGTGATAAAAGCAGCCATCTGAATAGCTGCTAAGCTTTATGGCCACACTGTCTTCCAAAAGCTTAGCTTCAGTTCACTGCAGTTTTAGAAATGCCTTATTTGAGATCAGTTTACCCCAGCTGCAACTACCAATTGCTTTTTACATTCACAAAAACAGGCGGAATAACATGAGAAGATGATCTATTAGAACAGCACAACGTAGGTGCCTGGTTCAGGAAATCCTGGCAGATTGCTGTAAGATGCAAGCAGGGTGTTACTTTGCTGGCAAACCTGTCCATGGGTCTGAGGGGATTGACAGGGAGAAGATAGTAGGATACACTGTCTGTACTAGACAGACTGCCAAATATTCATCTAAGACAAGCCTCATCTTTTTTATTACAGTAACTGCACAGATTCCAATCGGCACGTGTAAAGAGAAGTCATGGTTCACACTACATCATCAGATGAAGTCAACCATCAGAGAACGTACAGAACAATATAGGGAATTCAACGAGAATCTATATTTGAACACTTTGCTAAGAAGCCAGCTAATACAATCATGCTGCTCAGTCTTAAACCATAGAACACTTGAAGCTGTATTCCAAGAGACATACTGATGTGGAATATATACACTTTCACCATCAGTACAAATTTTACATTCTAGCATTTAAGTTCCAGCACTAAAATATTATCACAGCTATTCAGCTAACACTGAGAAAACCAGTATATGTTAAATGACAGACCTATTCCCTGCATATGGATGCATCCAATGACATTTTACATCATTCCACTGAACTTTATCAGAAGAAAAACTACATTTATATGTAACTTCCTCTAAGCCAAAAAGGGTAAATAGCAAAAAAAAACCCCAAACTCGTAAAACATACAGCTACCATTATCAGCATCTAATGTGATAATTTGCTTTCTCTAATCTTTGTCATTTACTGACAAACTTTGGTCATTCACCAATATGAAGTAGCAGAACTGCAGAGCTCCTTAATAAGAACATAACCCTCCAAGTGCAGTAACCTTCCCCAAATCCGTATCTGCTCACTGTCCAGTGTGACAAGCAAGGTATCCATGAATGAAAGGTGTTTAACACTATCTTTCCAAACAGCGTTTAAGGAGAAGAGAGCAGAATCTCACGATTACAATTTTCAAAGAGTTTTCAAACAGAAACATTACGTATTGATTGGCAGGATTTCAACCTTCAGTTAAATCATCAGTACACCTGCCTATGCACTGATGGCTCCATGCCCTTCACCAGGTTCCATCTACCTCAGATCTGGAAAACTTTAAACGCCTAGACATTAGCACTCCTTTTTTTGTTTTTGAAAAGTACTGAAGAGGAACAAGGCCTGAGGCAGTGATCCACCAGAATGATTATTTCAATGGTTGGCTTCTAGCAAAAATGACAGCTCTATTCCTGCTACAAAAGGCTATCCTTACTGCCAAGGAGTTCTGCTCCACTTTTTGCAGCAAGGATTCAAGAGGAGATTTTACCTTTAATCTGATCCGAGATCCCTGAGTAACCAGAAAAACTAATTTAAGTTCAGTCAGAAGTGGGGGAAGGGAAACAGCAGCATGAATTCTACCCTGAATTCAGAGGCAAAGAGCTTGGCTCTTTATTTGTAAGACCAACATGCATGGGAGGAAGGAGTTTAGGTAATTTACTAATTACAGCCGCAAATTTTCCAGGAGAAAAAATGCAGAGCATGCTCTTTTAACTATATGCATACCCCACGCATAGCTGGTAACTAACGTTCCCTTATTAATGGTCACTTAAAAGAAAAAAAAAAAAAAACAACCCACACTCCTTTTCCTCATCAGAGAGTAACTTACCTGCCAGCACTGTGTTTCAATTAGAGATTCTAACTATTTCTCATAGTATAACTTAGACTATAAGGTACAAAGCTTAAAAGCTTTCTGCTTCAGACAGAATTACTCCCCTTTTTAAAACTACAGTGAATTCATGACATCAGGGTTGAATTCACTGGCACAGGCATACAGATCAACTGCTATGATAACAATCTCTGTATTTTAAAATCAATAAAGGTAACAAGAAACTTAA